CCAACCATTCTCCCAAAGGGCTTCTCCTCCTTATTCTAATGAAATGTACTGTATGTAAAGTACAGTAATGTAATGTATGTACAGGGTGCACATCCACTGTGTGTGTGCATATGTGTATATGTATATACATATGTGTGTATACATGTACATATTTTCACACATGTATATGTGTATATGTGTACATATAATGTATGTGTATATATACACATATATGTATGACCTCATTAAGTTTCTTAACATCATATAAGTCAACTAAGTATTGTACCCACTTTAGAGGTATGGAAAATGAGGCTTAACTAGGTGTCTTGTATGAGAGTGGAGTGGGTGATGGGGCCAGGGTTTAAACCTAGGCCTTCTGGTTCATCTAGGTTAAGTCACTAAATAACATTAAATGCATGTATGTTGCTTCAGTGGGTTATATTTTATGTGAAACAGGACCTTGATTATTTTGGCCATGTACTGCAATATATGTTAAAGTAGTCCTAAAATGAAAAGAACAAACCAACACAAAACCAAATCCATTGGCCCATGTCTTTTTCTCTTGCTGGTATCTCTGGATATCTGCACTTGACTGGGAGGAAGCGAGAGAAATCAGTTTTCCCTCTGATCAGCAATAATTTATTGACCTGAAGATGCAGTGAACTGGTGTGAACACTTAATCCATACTATGCATCATTACACATTAATAGGGCCACTTTGCCACTTTCTGACATGCAAAAGTGGCTCGATTTGAATGAATTACAGTGATTTTAAAAGCAAAGGTTCTGCAGGGTGGCCTCTTTTGAAGTATCCTACATAAATGGCTTCGGTTTTAAGGGAAATAAAATGCACTCTGAGAACCTGGAGTAGTATGGTCGTTCAGTTCTGAATATATTGTGAAATAGTTTACAAGCTGATGGAGCAGGGATACCTGGAGCTCTGTTCACTTACATTCCAATTCAATCCCTTTCCTGAATCTGCTGGAGATTTTATTACCACTTAGAAACCCTGACATTCTGTAAATTGCATGGTGAACCGTTAATGATTTCTCAAACAAGAGTGAGGTAATCTTCACAGTAATTTTAAATATTTCAGAGGTCAAGGGGGGCATTTATGGTTTCCTTTATCATGGAGCAAAATGACTTTTTCAGTCAATCATTTAAGCCACGAGTTATGTACACTACGCATATTATCACATAGGAATCTGCCCTTTGTGCTGCTTTTCGTAGGTGCTTTGGGTATTTGTCAGGAAGACAGGAAAGTCAGACCAGATGGCATGGGTTATTATTGGAAACAGATCTACTGATTCATGCATGCCTTTCTTCTTTTTTCCTTCCTCCACTCTGTCTTCGGTTCTATCAGCGAAAACAGTAATTGGCTATCTGGAAAAAAAATGGGGGAAATTGATTCTCTTGGAATGGTTGACTGAGTAAATGAAAAGGTGCTTCTCCTCTTGGAGATGTCCAGATGTGTGCTTTGTTCTGGATTCATATCGAATGTATTAGCTTTTGTGCGTATTGTGATGGGGTGCTGATACCGAGAAGGGAAATTTGAATGCAGTTTGGTGACTTAGAATTTCTGCATAAGTGTCTCCAAGGGGGAAGCTTGAAGAGGTTAGGTGTCTTCTTTTTCCCTTTTTTTGGGGGAAACCTCTTTATGAATAGGAAGTGTTCATTAGGTCATTTTGTAAAATTTTGGAAAGCAAAAGTAAGCTACATGTTTGTACCTTACTCATCCAGTGCCTCTATGTGATAAGGTGCTTTTGAATAATAATGATATTGATAAAACAATCATTTGTATCACCTTTTGAGCACTAATATGATTGTGAGAGGGGCTTGAATTTTTCAGATTATTGTCAAGACAAGAAAGTGGTGTTGCTCCATGAGGCAGAATTCCATTGTCCACCTACACCAGATGGTGGCTGAATTTGTAACTTTAGGAGTTGCTCTCAGAATCCCATCTCCACACACTTCCAACATCTGTATTTACAATAGTCATAACGGGAGGGTCAGAGCAAGGCCAGCAAAGTTGGGGACCTGAGTTTGCCTGCAGGTGCAAAAGCTACTACCTTGGGGTACTTCCTGCCAAGGTTTTTTGGCCAGAGCCAGGAAGGAGGAGTGTGCTGGGATGGCTTAACACCATCTAAACATTTCCTAAATACTTTCTCTGCTAGGAAACATTCAAGAAATCAAAGCCCCATTTCCCTGGGGTCTGAATATAATTTGAATAAGAGGGGAGAGGGAATTGAGATAGGGTAGTTGGGGGAGGACAATATTGTAGAAAAATACCTCTGCAATTGTTTTATCTCTGTCTAGCTTAACAGAAAGCTGACCTGTGAAGACTTCTTTAGGGTCCTCTCCGATTTGGATCCCATCTCCCCTTCCCTGCCCCAGGTTCTTTTTGAACTTTGAGCCATGTGTGTGTATACAAGCTACGGTGTCATCTTGAGTCAGTGGTGGCAAACCAAGCTTACCTGCCTTCAATCAGAGGACACTTCCTATTTGAACAACTCTCTAGGATCTCACATTATTTTCCTCCCTGGGTGGTACCATTTGCCATAATGGGGGCAGGCACACAATGGATCTCGGCCACTCTCAGTAGAATCAGCCAACTCCCCATATTAGAATGAGGTTTTATCTCCCTGGAGAATCTGCCTATGTTGGGGCAGCCATATGTGTGTTTTTGAATTGAGGAGGCCTGAGCCACTCATTCACATTTGTTTAATCCAAATGCAGGCCTCTCTGAGTAGGCGGTGGCTGCGGGGGAGATATTTGCATTTCTGACCTGCTGCATGCCTTTGCTGAATGAAATTCATATAATTACTACACACCATGACTTCCTCTAGAGTTGTATCCGTTCTGGTTGGCTTTTTTTCTTCCTCCACTTCATCATCATCCAATTAATTAACAGTTGCCATGGTGACTGTTGCCATGGCAGCATACAATTCTCCCAAAGGGATTCTCATTCATATTCTAATCAAATACATGCACATGGCTGGGTGGCTGGAAAAAGTGGTCAGGAGAATTCAAGAAGAATGGAGGAAGAAATAAAAGAGGGTTGCTTTGTTCTTTTGCCCTGCCCTATCTAGCTTTGTCTTTAGCCTACTTTATCTTAGGAAGAGGATGATTGTTTTTCTTTATCGTTTTTCTTATAGAAATGCCTGGCTGTTCTCAGGGTGCATCCTATTTTTAGTAAAGTAGTCTTTTTCTGCCTTGGGACCATGCTCTTCTCTCATTTTTTTCTTCCTTCATCAGGTGAGGGGCACGTTGATTTTCCTCTGCTGTTTAGTCTGGCAGACCTGCCGGTGAGATTTCTAATGGATTCTCTGTAAAGGAACCAAAGCTTTGTCGTTTACAACCATTAGCAGCTTCCACCTCTCAAACGAAGATCATATCTGTCACCTGTCCACATGTGACTTCCCAGGAAGCAATCGTTCTAATAAGATTCTGAACTACCCTTGCAAATCTGTTCATGGATTGTGTTATAGAGCCGAACCAGGTGTCGGCTCGCTGGGTGCAGCAAGGCCAAACCCTGATATCAGGATTGCAGCAAGAAAAAGTGAGGCATTTAGTTGCCAGGTGCCAAGCAAGGAAGACCAGGCAGTTAATGCCTATGACTTCCCTGATGGCTTGCAGATAAGGGATTTTAAAGGCAGGGCTAAATTTCAGAAAGGAGAAGTTACAGGCAAAGTCATAAATCAATACATGGAGGTTATATATTGGTTTCGGCCTAAAAGGCTGGGATATCTTGAGCAGGTGAGCTTATAGGTTATAGGTAGATTTCAAATATTCTGATTTGATTAAGGAAGAGAAGATTTGTTTAAAAATTTGGGGTCAGCAGTAAAGAATGTTAGCTCTGGCTCCTGGTGTGACTTTCTCCAGGCCCCTCAGGAAGAAATTTCGAACAAAGAACTGTAGTCAAAGTTTACTTTTTAGTTTCCCCCATTATCTGAGGTCTACTTGACAGCAGATCTCTTTGGTGGGGGTCTGGGTTTCTGAAAAACAATTCAGGGACATATATTAAGAGGTTATCTTTAGTTTCTATAGGGAATCAACCTCCCATGATTCTAGCTTCCTCGGGTATTGTTTTAAGCTACTATTACCTTCTTGCTTATCAAGTTGCTTATTTATTTCTCAAGGCCAGCTAGGTGCCTGGAATTTCCCTTGAAGGAACTCAAGATTTTCTTTTATTTTCATGCTTGGAGGCCCAGCAGACCCCTAAGAGGGGGTACTGGTTTTGTCTCAATTACTTATGCATGTGAGACAGCCAAGTGGAAAGTGGTCCCCAGGGAAACTCCAGCCGGCCTGCACACTGCGGTAGAGTCACAGAAGTTTGCGCCATTTGCAGTGGGGAGGAGCCTGGCCCGTCCTCTTCCTGGGTGGAACCTGGAATTTAATCTGTGAGGCGGGAAGCACACTAGCAGGACTTGGCTTTGTGGAGAGTTCCTGTTTTCCCTTTTGTTTTTTCTCCTTTTTGTCCAACAAGTACCATTTTTATCACCCTTCAAAGTATCTGTGAGCCTAATATTTCATGGCCGTGTGACAAGGACCCCATCTTTAACTGAACTAAGGGAAAAGTCCTACAACACTTGTTTAATGTCTGACCATACTCACTCGCTTTCTCAGTTCCTCCAGAAAGAATGAAAAATATCCAGGACTCTTCTTCCATCCACGTATCCCTGGCATGTTGACCTGACTAAGGTGACCTTAGCCCAGGACCACTGTTAGATTGGAATGCCTTCATTTTAGCCTGCCTCCCCGCTCAGAATCTCTGCTGCAGTTCCGTTCTGGTTTGCTTCCCTCTGCTTCTCTTCCTGCCTCCAGGCCCTACCCCTGTGCAGGCATCTTCCACACAGAAGATGATGATTCAACATGAGATTTGGGTGGGGACAAACATCCCAACTATATCAACTTCGTTCCAAAAGAAATGCAATAGTCTTAAATGTCCTCCTTAGATATCTCATCAAATAACCAGGAAAGATCAACCACCAAAAAAGAGAAGAGACTGTGAGTTGTCCTGTCCACAGACATTTTTTTTTTATCTATTCTTTTGAGGGTGACTCCAAGAGACTGTTTGGGGGACTTTATTTGCATTATAAGACAATTTTTGTTCCTGTGTAGCTCTGCCCTTCCTCTGCTGGCTGCCTCTTGCCTCTTGGATCTATGCACCTCTCCCCTGTGAAGAGAGTTGTAAGCGTCAACCATCTGGCCCCTCTCTGAGTTCATATTTTCTATGACTCTCTATTTTTTCTCCTATTAATCTGCCTTTTGTCATTTGATTTTCAGTGAATCTTCAGAGGGCAAAAAGAAAGTTTTCTCCCTCATCCCCTATGTAGATAATCCATGGGCTCCATTTTGGGAAATACTGGCCCAAAGAGAAGCCCAAATTCTTAGCATGGTATGCAAAGTCCATTACAATCTGATTCCAATCTGTTTTTGTCTTTTTAACTTCTAGCAATAATTCCTCCTCAGATTTTTCACCTCAGTGCCTGCCTTGTGTTCTAATTGTACCAAATTTTTCATTATTCTTCTCACCATACTGCACACAACTCAAGCTCCAAGCCTTTGCTCAAACTCTTCTTTTGTCTGAATGACCCCACTCTCTCTGATCCTGGTCAGACTTCTCCTCAACTCAATGCCACCTCCTTCCTGAAGTCTCCCAATCTTTCTCGGGTAAGACCATTCCTTCCCTGTGTCTCATAGCACTTTTAAGGCTAATGCTTGTCCTTACCACATTTTATTTTAATTCTCTCTTTTAGGATCTGTATTCCTTGCCCTTTGAAGATTCAGGGCTGGGGAAAGAAAAGTAGCAATTATTTAGCACCTACTAAGTATTGTTTATGGTGCCAATGAACTATTCTCCTCATCATAAACTTCTTTTTTATTAACAACAACAACAACAACAATGACAACAAAATAACTGAAATGGGTCCTTCATTCCAGGTAGTGTGCCAAGAAATTTACATGCATATTCGCATATTCTCAATATTCATAGCAATCTTATAAAACTGCCATTATAATATACCCTTCCTTACAGAAAATGAAGGAACTTAATGCACTCAAAGTTGATACTTAGTAAATGGTGCAGTTGGAATTTATCCAAAATTGTCTGACACTGGAGCCTGCTTGGGTGATCCTGTCATTGTTACCGAATTTTAAGGTGGAGAAACTTGCTTGAGGGTACCCAGCAGCAGACAGCCAGGGCTGCTGGATTCCCAGGCCTGGGGAAAGATACTCTTCAAACTTGGAACCTGCAGCTCCTCCTGTAATTCCTGACATACGGTTCATTGAATTGAACTAGACCTGTTGAGTATTAACATGACTCTCATTCTGACTCAGAGAAGTGACTTATCTAAGGTAATGTAGTTAGAAAGAGTCTTGGTTGAGAGTCCAACACAGATGTTTTTACAATCAAGTGAAATTCTCACCTTGTCAATGATGCCTCCTCAATGCTATGGACAATTGGTTATGTATTTGGGATTCTGGCCACTGTTTACAGCATTGTTTCAAGGGAAAAAAATGTATCCTGAGGTCGTTTTCAAGACTGTTAGAGTCAACCCTTAGAACTTGGGCTAAGTCAGAGACTGAAACAGGCATGCCACAGCTCTGTTCTCACCAGCAGTAGCATTTGTATCCAGACCCATGTAGGTATCTGCAAAATATTTATGGTCTTAGAATGGAGTTTCAGTCACATGTTTGGTACCTCGTCCAAAGAACAATATTTGGAAATGGATTCTATAGCACCAGGCAGCTGATGAAGGAAGGAGATGTTTTCTCACCTAATTTTCACAAATGGTTTCTGGAACCTTACCTTCAAACTCCTTGACAAACACAGTTCTGCCCGTGCTCTCAGAGGACCTGAAAAAAAAAATCATGCAATTAACCCCATATGTTCAACTTTGGAGAGCACCTGGGTAACAACTCCTAGCCAAAGCTTAGTATGCCAGGAGCTCTCTGATGAGGGGTCTGACCATTTTCCTAGGAATTGAATAAGTCGGTGATCCATCTGTCTATCAAGTGTCTGAAGTCAGCAGAACCCCTGATAGTGCCCAAGCCTTCTTTTTTCCCTCTGTCCCATTGCAAAGCAACTAACCCCATCCTGGGATAGCTGTGAGCTGTGGCTGCAGCTTTGCTGTGTCTGGTCTTCCAGGGGATGAATGGCTGGTGGCTCTATCCCAGGGTGAAACTTGTGCTGGGGGGGATCACAGGGTGCTGAGGAGAGAGAAGCCCCCTGTGTTTATAGTGGAGTACTATTGAGTTCCACCTCATCCATCACCCCAGTGTGCCTGCCACCGGCTGCAACGTGAAAGTGTGCCCTGCTCAGGTGCGAGGGGACAGTGTTGTGAAAAATTCATCTCTCAGATGATTCACTGGACCCCTGCTTGCTGATCTACTCCTGCGCTCCTCACCCCACACGTTTATCGGCAGGAATATCAAGGTATCAGGTTTTAAAGAGGTGGAAGTCAGAGAACAAAATTATTAACCTCTATGTCAATTCTAATTAATGCAGCAAGCCACCTGGATATTTAGTGACTGGAAATGAAATCAATTTGAGTTTTCAAATTTAATTTACATACAGCTGGTATGATAAATCGGTAACACATTGCTAGGTAACTCACTTCTCTGTAGTTCAGGGGAAGGATTTCTGTCCTCATTGCTATCTGGGTATTTTACAAATCCTTTCATTAATCCAGAGCTTTGGCCTTCCGAGGAAGGGCATGCTGGTTGTAACAGCTTTGAAAAATTTAGCTTCTGCTGCAGCTTGGCCACGGAGAGAAAATGTCATTTCTATATTTTTTAAAATAGCTGTTTTAGTTTAATTTATGATTTCCCATCCCCATCTCCACCCCCACCCCCACCCCTACCACCAGTGAAAAGAAAAAGCTAAGTTTCTAGTTTGGCTTGAGTGAATGTCTGATCTGATCATTTAAACAGGGCCTTTGGGGGATGCTCAGTCTTTTTAGGAAAAATTGGTTTTGGTCTCAGATTACCTCTACCCTGTGACTGCTTCTTTTGCTAAAATGGCATGTGGAGTATGGAGACAACTGATTTGGAAGGGAGTGAGGGCTGTGGCTCCTGGACTTCATGGTGGAGGGGAGGAGTGTCCTCTCATATGAGGACTGTGGCTTTAGGTCCATGTCTCTTCATATTGGTTCCTGCCTCAAGACCATGGCTGGTGTCACTTAGGCTTGGTCAGGGGCTTCTCCTCTGGCTGACCTCCAGACCCTATGGCCACTGCCCATCCCAGCAGGTCCCTGGCTCTCGCCATCAGTGCCCAGCAGTCAGAAGGTGGCTTGGCAAAGTGAAACCTCAGAGCCTCCCTCTGTCCCTCCTGCTGGCTTGCCAGCTCGCTGCGGCCTGGCTCTAGGCTGGTGTAAGGCATTCAGAGAGAGTTCTTTTCTCAGAAGTCCATGCCGGGAGCAGAGGCTGTGCCACCTTCTACTCTCTTAGGTTCACTTATTCAATGCCAAACACAGAGAGGGGACATGGGGACATGCCTCAAAGAGCTTTGCTCTCCTCTCCTCGGCTCTTCCACCATCCCTCAGACTGGAAAAGGACAGGTCTTTCTTTTACCCTCCTGTGTAATAGTGTCCTCCTTCTACAGGAGTGGCAAACATTCCGGCCTTTCTGCCCTGGTGGAGGGTGCATATATTCTAAGTGGCAGTGGTATTTTTATGCATTAGTGTAATCTAGTCTTGGTCCTTAGTGATTTGAAGCAGGGTGGGGGTATCTTCAGGAAGTGAAAGTCGAATTGGGAAAAACTGTGTTGAGGACAATGCCCTGGCTTCAAGGTGAATGCTTTGCTGTTTAATCCAATTTCTGAATGCAGTAAATAGAAAACTACTCTAGCTGTTCTTTCTGCATTCTTTGAGTAAAAATCCTCCTTTTCCAACAGACGGGAGTTTCTGGATGCCTTTGGCAATCTGGGGTGATGGGGACATATTCAGAAATCCAGAAGAAAAACACACGAACAATTTTCATTACAATTTTACTTTCATTAAATCAATCATATGTGAGGCTTTGCCACATGGTCTCTGTCCAGACACACCTAACAGTAGTTCATAGGATGTGATCACTTAATCAACAACTTTTTTGCTGTGTTTTTTTTTTTTAAAGATGGAGTTTCACTGTTGTTGCCCAGGCTGGAGTGCAATGGCGCAATCTCTGCCCACTGCAACCTCCACCTCCTGGGTTCAAGCGATTCTCCTGCCTCAAACTGCTGGGATTACAGGCATGCGCCAAGTAGCTGGGATTGCAGGCATGCGCCACCATGCCCAGCTAATTTTTGTATGTTTAGTAGAGACAGGGTTTCACCATGTTGGCCAAGCTGGATGGTCTTGAACTCCTGACCTCGGGTGACCCATCCACTTTGGCCTCCCAAAGTGCTGTGATTACAGGTGCGAGCCACTGGGCCTGGCCTAGTCAACAGCTTTTAAGAAGTGACAGAAGCAACTTGCACGTGTGCATATGCATTTGTGTGTGTGTGTGAGAGGGAGAGGGGGAGAGAGAGAGAGAAAGAGAGAGGGAATGGAGTGTGTTAGATTATGGGCTGAGCAGTGTGGAGAAGGATATCAAAGGTGTGAAAAATTTGGGATTAAACCTGTAGATAGAATACAAAAATTAAAATGTTTAAAGGCCACAGATAAGTGAGTGCAACTAATATAGCCCCAACTTACTACAGGATTTCTGAGGGACCACAGAACAAAGAAGTGATTCCAATTAGACATTTTTAACCAGAAAAGACTTCCTAAAAGAGGTGATTTTGGGATTAGACTTGCAGGCAAGGTTATTTATACCTATACAAATCAAAAGGAACAGGAGCAGATGGATTAGCTGACAGGAGCTGAGGCTGGCTGTGAAGGAAATAGGGTTGGCGAGATAGGAGGGGACCACTGTGAGTAATGGGCATGGTTTTGTGAGAACAGTTTTTGCTTAGAAATCAAGAGATGCTCTAAGCTGTTAACGGTGAGCTATGTGACCTGGTAAGCCCCCTGGCCTCTCGGGCCCCAGGTTCCTCTTTGGTTAGAAGAGGGATGAGGAAGTCTCGCAGGCCCCTTCCAGTTGCAGCCAGCTGTGATTCAATGGCAAGAGGAATCCTGGTCTAGGTTTTGAGAGTGGAGGGTTGTGGTGAAAATGACGTGGACATGGGATTCTTCCAGTCATGGTATAAATTGGAGCCCAGGAGAGCAGGGGCACAGGCATGAAGGGATGTAGGGATAATGTCCTGGGGGTGAATAGTGGCCCCAAAATGATATGCATAAGTACTAATCCTCAGAGCCTTTGAATGGTACCTGAAATGGCAAAAAGGGACTTTGCAGAGGTGATTAAGTTAAAGGTTCTGAGATGAAGAGATTATCCTGGATTATCTGGGTTGGCCCTAAATGCCATCACAAGCATCCCTCTAAAAGAGAGACAGAAGGAGTTTTGAGAGAGACAAAGGGGAGACAGTGTGGCCACAGAGATTGGAGTGAGGTGGCCACAAGCTAAGGGATGCTTGGAGCCCCAGAAGCCGGAAGTGGCAAGGAAGGATCCCCCACTAGTGCCTCCCAAGGGAGTGTGACCCTGCTGATACCTTGATTTTGAACTGTCCATTCCCAGAATTGTGAGGAAATAAATTTCTGTTATCTGAAGTGCCGGGTTTGTGGTAATTTGTTACAACAGTCGTAAGAAATTAATACAATTGTAGCTGAAACAGGGAAAGAAAGTGAAGGTTTATGAGATACTGGTCTTTTCCTCAGTTACCTTCTCAGGGAGTGACTGTAGAAGAAAAGGAAAGCAATTAAAAATGACTCTAACCTGAACCATGAGACTGTGGTGTTCCTAAGAATGCACATTTTTTACAGGGATTACTTTGTAGACATATTCTCCTTTCATCACCTATGTGGCACATGTTTTTGTCTCCAATTTTCAAAGTAAATAATGTATCTCAGAGTCACACACAAATAGGGAGGAAAACAGTCATAGAATTAAAAAGCTTAGGATAAAAAACCTCAATTTCCTCCCCTCCCCTTCCAGCCTCCAGTTTCACTTCAGAAACACTTGCTTTCCTCTCTGAGGCTTGTTTTTCTTGGCATTTACCTTCATCTATGATGATTTCTTGATTTATCAATCTTAGACCATGTCTATTAATTTCCTCTTCTAACCATTATGGATTTCCTTCTCTTCTGACCTCTCCTCTGTTGGCTTCCCCTCCCTCCAGCCTTCAGTATAGTTTAGGTGATGGAATGTTACCTTGGATGCTTGGATCAAGTCACCATGATGTAGTAGCCTCTCAAAGGAAGTGACTGAACACTGGATAGTAGATTCTGAAGCCCATAAAAAGGACAGAAAGTTGAGAGTGTGAAGATGATATTGTTTGTCTCTGTGTCCCCACCCAAATCTCATGTTGAATTATGATCTTCAGTGTTGGAGGAAGGGCCTGGTGAGAGGTGATTTGATTATGGAGGTGGATTTCCCCCTTGCTGTTCTCATGATAGTGAGTTCTCATGAGATCTGGTTGGTTAAAGTATGTAGCACTTCCTCCTTCACTCTCTCCTGTCACCATATGAGTATGTGCCTGCTTCCCTTTCTCCTTCTGCCATAACTGTAAGTTTCCTAAGGCCTTGCAAGCCATGCTTCTGGGCAGCCTGCAGAACTGTGAGCTGATTAAACCTCTTTTCTTCAGAAATTACCCAGTCTCAGGTAGTTCTTTATAGCTGTGTGAGAATGGACTAATACAGAGAACATCTTGTGAGCGGATTTTCTTCAGGGAAAGCTGTGCTGAGTCCCTGTCAGGGCTGTCTACCCCTCACCTCAAGCCTGTGAGGGTTTCTGCCAGGATTACAAGGAAGGCATCCTCTGCAATGCGGACCTGTTGTGACTTCCCCAGGATATTGGAAGGGTGAGAAATGGGCTTACTGCTTTGGTGGTAGAGCCAGGAGGCCTGCTTGTGTTTGGGAGGGGCCTGCACACTTGGAGTCTGCCAGGAACAAAGACAGGCGCTGGGCATCTCGCCGGTCATGGGAGCAGCTGTCTGAAGGGCCCAGTAGGGAGGTCTCAGAAGAACATATGAAAACACCATTGAGAAAGAAGAGGAACCTTCAGAATACCATTCCATCAAGTGTGAACTTTCTAGAATTTCTTCCCCTGTCCTTTCTCCCATTTGCAAAGAGGAGGAGGTGAGCGAAAGGAGAGGCTGAACACACCTCCCACCTGAGTGTAAAGTGGGTGTCGTCAACTGGCCCTACCTGAGGAAAGAGAATATTTAGCACTAAATTAGTTTTGGAGACTTGATTGTTATTAATACATAGGAATGGGCACTATAATGCTTAAATTGAGGCTCTGTCTCCTGACATAATGACTCTAGGGCTAACGCGGGAAAATCTTGGGAGCTACCAGGGTTTTAATCTAGACAAAAGGTGAAAATTTCCTCATTGAATACATTTTTCAAACTTAAAAAAAATCAAAACTTTTATTTCAAGATAATCATAGATTCCCATGCAATTGTAAGAAATCATACAGGGAGACCCTGTGTGTGTTTCCCCAAGAGTAATAGCTTGCAAAATGATGGCATGATATCACAACCAGGATGTCGGCATCAGTATAGTCAAGATGCAGAACATTCCATTAACACAAGGGACCCTCCTGCTGACCTTTTTAACCATAGCCCCCCACCTCCCTCCTTAACCACTGGCAACCATTAATCTGCTCTCCATTTCTATAATGTTGTCTTCTTAATAATTCTATATAAATGAAAGTATATGTATAGTATATAATTTTGTAGGATTAACTTTTTTTTTTCTCCTCAGCCTAATTCTGGAGATTCATCCAAGTTGTTGTGTGTATTAATAGTTTTTTGTTTGCTTGTTTGAGACAAGGTCTCCTTTTGTCACCCAGGGGAGTGCAGTGGCATGATCATGGCTGACTACAGCCTTGACTTTCTGGGCTCAAGCAATTCTCCAACCTCAGCCTCCAGGTAGTTGGACTTACAGGCACATACCACCATGCCTGCTAAATTTTGTTTTTTTGTAGTAGTCAGGGCTTCTTATGTTGCCCAGGCTGATCTTGAACTCCTGGGCTCAAGCAATCCTCCTGCCTTGGCTTGCCAAAGTGCTGGGATTACAGGCTTGAGTCACAGTAGCTGGTCTGTTTTCTTTTTTTATTGTTCAGAAGTATTCCATGGTATGGATATGCCAGTTTGTTTAACCATTCACCCATTTAAGGACTGGGCTATTTCAAGGTTTTGTTTTTTGTTTTTTTTTTTTTTTTGCTATTATGAGTAAAGCAGCTATGAATGTTTGTGCTCATGTTTTTGTGTGAGTTCATCTACATTTCTCTGGGAATAAATGCCCCGGGGGCATATGATGGTTAAGAGGTATAATAGTTGTAAGTTTATTTTTTTAAGATGCCACCAAGCTTTTCCCAGAGTGGCTGTACCATTTTCCTTCCACTTACATCAACAATATACGAGTGATCCAGTTTCTCTATGAAGATATTTTAAAGGCATCGTGGGAGATAAAAATAAAGTTGCAGATGACATCCCCTAGGTGGTACCACTCTGGCCTCTGTAAATAGCAAGTTTGATCTGCCTGACCCATTCAAAAGTGGCAGGTCTGCAGAGCTGGGAGCAGGCCTGGCCTGGGCTCTGGGCAGTGGTGCAGTACCGGGAACTGGCCAGAGAGGCGCCCTAAGGCTTGACAGCAGCTTGCTGAGAGTCCTTTTAGTTAGCCCTGTTCCTCCCAGGGCTCTTCCACATTCATTGGTCAGGGCTATGGCAGCGTCCTTGGATTGGAGCTACTTTTCTGATTATGGAAACAACAATCTTTTTCATCAGAGCACAGTAGTTACTATTAAAAGCTGCAGTCGCATGGCAGGCTGGAAGTGGCAATTCAGAGAAACTTTTGTCTTCCCACTTCCCAGAGTGGTGCCAGCTGGAGGGGTTTTGCTGGGACTGAAGAGGGAAGAGTGGGGCTAGGATCAAAGCCAGAAAGGGGGATGCTTCCTAAAGAAAGCCGCATGCAGGCCAGTTTAACTCCTTAGTTACAGAGGGGGCTGTGGTGCCCTCTCTCAGAGCTCGGAGGCTACTAAAAGCTCAGCTCTGAGCCTGAAAGGCTTATATGATTCAGCTCTGGAGCTAAATGCCTCCAGAAATCCCAGCTCAATGACTTACTGCCTGTGTAGCCACAATCAAGTTACTTTAACCTCTTTAAGTCTCAGACATTTCTTTCATCCATAATAGAAGGATATGAACAGCACCTCTTGGGTTTATTATGAGGACTATATGGGAAAATATTTATATAAAGTCCGTAGGACAATCATTTCAAGTTGACTGCATATTGGAATTACCCAGAGATCTTTAAGGAACACCGATGACTGGGTCCCATTGCCAGATTCTGGGATCATTACAATTGGCCTGGCGTGTGAGTTCTAAAAACTCCTTAAGTGGGCCAGGTGGTTCATGCCTGTAATGCCAGCACTTTGGAAAGCCAAGGCGGGTGGATCACCTGAGGTTGGGAGAGTTTGAGACCAGCCTGACCATCGTGGAGAAACCCCATCTCTACTAAAAATACAAAAATTAGCTGGGCGTGGTGGCACATGCCTGCAATCCTAGCTACACAGGAGGCTGGGACAGGAGAATTGCTTGAACCTGGGAGGCGGAGGTTGTGGTGAGCCAAGATCATGCCATTGCACTTTAGCTTGGGCAACAAGAGCAAAACTCTGTCAAAAAAAAATTAATTAAACAAACAAATAAATAAATAAAAACTCCTTAAGTGATGTACTATGTTTAATTTTCCCCCACTATGATCTCTCCCACCAAGTTCATGTCCTTTCTGGAAATTCAGAATGTGGTTTTATTTGGAAATAGATTCATTACGGGTGTAGTAGTTAAGATGAGGTCATATTGGAATAGGGTGGGCCCTTAATCCAATAGGACTGGTGTCCCTGTTAGGAGAGGAGAAGAGACACAAAATAGACAGGTACAGAGACAAAACAATGTAAAGAGACACAAGGAGAAGGCTGTGAAGCGGAGGAGGCAGAGATTGGAGCGATGCGTCTATAAGCCAAGGAATCCCCAAAATTACCAACAACTCCCAGGAACTAGGAGAGAGGCAGGGAACGAACTTTCCTGTAGAGTCTTTCAGAAGGACAGCTTGATATTGGACTTCGGGCCTCCAGAGCTGTGAGAAAATACATTTATCTTGTTTTTAGCCACCCAGTTTATGGTATTTTGTGACAGCAGCCCTAGAAAGCTAATGTGGATTGTCATAATATACAGCCAACGTTGTCAGTCACAGCCATAGATGGTAAAATGTGGCAGAACATGGCTCAGGGAGCATCAGCTATTTTCATTATCTCAAAACAGATAGCCTTAGCCATATTTAAGTGTCTACTGAGTCTCAGAAAAGCATCTTGGAGAGTAGTTGGTGCTGTTTGAGAGGAAAGAGTCCTAGGGAGCCCTGTTCTCTGAGGATGGGCCACTGTGTCAATCACGGGGAAGCAGTAGGTGTCACCACTGTCATGGAAACCCAGCCCATTCATAATAGTCTGAGAAAGCAGGGGCGCCACGTCAGTCTGGGTCTCAGAAGTTTAGGAAACACTGCATTCCATATTCCCTCTGTATTAGTCCGTTCTCGTGCTGCTATGAAGAAATATCCAAGACTGGGTAATTTATAAAGGAAAGAGGTTTAATTGACTCACAGTTCCTCATGGCTAGGAAGGCCTCAGGAAACTTACAATCATGGCAGAAGGCACCTCTTCACAGGGTGGCAGGGAAGACAATGAGTGCCGAGCAAAGTGGGAAGCCCCTTATAAAAGCGTCAGATCTCATGAGAACTCACTCACTATCATGAGAACAGCCTGGGGGAAACTGCCACCATGATTCAGTTATCTCTACCTGGTCCCACCCTGGACGCATGGGGATTATTACAGTTCAAGGTGAGATTTGGGTGGGGTCACAGACCCAAACCATATCACCCTCCTTTGAGGAAAGACAGCATACATTAGCATGTTCAAGGTTCTCCTGGAGTAAAGAAACCCCTTCAATTTTACTTATACCAGAATTTCCCAAGCCAGTCTGACTATGTCAAGCTTGACTTTTTCCATAACTTGCATTATCCCAGCAGAACCAGTGCTCTGGAATCTGACTTAGGAAATCCTGATTGAGGTCACACCACCACAGGTGGGTACACACCTACCCAGAGGGAAAACTTAAAGGAAAAGGCTGGGCGTAGTGGGTCACACCTGTAATCCCAGCACTTTGGGAGGCCGAGGTGGGTGGATCACTTGAGGTCAAGAGTTCAAGACCAATCTGGCCAACATGATGAAGCCCTGTCTCT